GCAGAGATCTGCTTCATCGGCTTCTTTTCTATGGCAAGGAGCTGATCTCCCTCCCTCTTCCTCCTGACGCCCTCCCAAGCCGGTCCCGGGCCGCAGATGGGCTAGCGGATCCCGGGATTGAAGGTGAGTGGTTAGTAGGGGGGGCGGCGGCAGCAGATGAGGGGGGGGGGCATACACCAGCACATTTACACGATCGGCTGGCTATAGAGCCACCGATCGTGTACATGTTAAACAGCCGGTAATGGCTCTATGCATTGCAAATTTTTTTTCTGCCCGTGCGTGCGCGCTAGGGGGCGCGAGTGAGCAGAACAAAAATGCCATCTGGCGATGGCAACCCGCTAATGCAGCAGTGCCGTCTGTCCATTTTTTTCAACGGGCGGATGGCAACTGGTTAACAGGCATCACTGCCTGTTTTTAAAAATCGGGCATTTCCCGCTTGTGGCATGGCTGAGCGGACGTCTAGATGTAGAGAGCTCCGGCCGGCCGTTTTTTTACCACAGCCGGCCGGGAAGTGGTTAAATGTGGAGTATTATGATGTGTCACCTGTGATGAGCGATGTGTTCTTATAGGGACTGGACTTTGAATAATGCTTGCGGTGCTCGTAGTGATTACATGGATGACGCCGTGCTTACCAAAATCATAGAAGACAGAGATCACCAGCACCCAGTCAAAAGCATTCAATTCACTTCTTGAATTCTTGAATTGAATGCTTTTGACTGAGTGCTGATGATCTCCGCCTTATACGATTTTATATGTGGAGGGCTGCTGCAAATGATAAAAATCTTACCTTAAGGCAGGCCAGCTCCTATACATAACTCACTGTGGGGAGTGAGGGATGCAGATCGAGCAATGGAGTACTTCAGTCCAATCCCCGCCCTTCCTTCCTTCTTGCCCATTCACAAAATGCCTTGTACTTTTCTCAACAAATACAAGGCATTTTGTGATTAGAGGAAGGGAGATCATGTCACTTCACTGCCCCTCTACTTCTCCTCCAATCATAGAAAGTCTTGAACACTTTCACAAAAACCAGCAAATATCTATGGAAACACATTGCTGCAATGATTTATAAATGGGTGTTTGCCAAATATTTTGTATTCTTCTCAGCACAATGGCACTTCTTCAACATTAGCATTTATTAAAGTGTATCTAAACCCAAAAACTAAAATATTAATATATTACAGCTTACTGGTCCCTAAATAAATAGCTACATTAGTTTACTTTTTCAGACTTTTTCTTGAATTTCCACCTGGTTATCCTGTAAATAACATTTACCTGGGTGGCTACATTTACTTCTACATTGTATCTATAAAGGGAGCCATGGTTGTCACCAAGGTTGCACTACAAATATGTTTGCCTCTGTTTGTCGCAATTACATGGAGGTGGGGAGATTAGTCGTTTATAGAAGATAGATACATTTTTTTATTTCTGCTCCGCTCACACAGTATTTCTGGCAAGATCAACACTTGATGAAAATGTCCTAAACACTTCCTGTCCTAGGGTGACAATGATTCTTAGATAAAGTACTGTGAGTGTTGTCACCCTAGGATAAGAACTGTGTTACTGGCAGGACCATCAGGTGAAAATAACAGGGAAAAAGCCTGAAAAGAGGAAAACTAATGCAGCCACTACATCTAAGGACTAGTAAGTTGCAACTTATTATTATTTTTTTTTGTTCTTGGGTTTAGTTATCCTTTACTATGTATACTGACTATGGAAGAAGGGTTAGGATATATAAACATATCACAGGATCAAGGATGTGGTTGATAATTATCAATTCCCTTGGGAAGAGTTAGCTCCAAAGGTCAAGCAACCAAGGTAATTTTTGATCACATAATGGATGACCACGTTTACACACTTCTTCAGAAATGTAAAAAACATACATATGGAAGACTGTCAGTCTTAGCAAGTCAAAATAGTTTTTTTTCTCACTAATAAGTTAATATTAAGGGGGTTATTCACAAAGCTAGCCGAAGGATCAGCAGTAGCTCCAGCTGATCCTTCGGCTAGCTTCGGCCGACTGAGCCCTTTGGTTCAGTAGAACTGAAGGGCTGCTGTACAGGCTATTCACTATAACCCGTACAGATCCCAAAGTTGGCCGAGCGGCTCAGTCGAGCTGAAGGCATATGTTTCGGCTCAACTGAGCCGAGGTGAAAGTAGAAGCAGGCCGAACGGCCGTCCACTGGCTGGCCGAAAACCTGCTACTGACAGCTGGGCGGAGCCAGCCGTCATCTCACGGCTGGCTCCGGCCACTTGCAAAGACAGTTCATTGTCCCAGGGGGTAACCAGGGGACGCTGATCTGTCATTACAATGAGAACCCGGCGGAGCCGCCATGATATCATGGTGGATCCACTGAGTTCTCAGTGTGTAATAACAGTTCAGCGTCCCCTGGTTATCCAGTAACCAGGGGACGCTGAACTGTCAAGAGAGCTCAGCGAGGCCGGCAGTGATATCAAGGCCGGCGTCCACTGGTTACTTAGCGGAGCTTAGTGGAGCCTCTTTTTCCCAACAGGGTTTTTACTTACATTGGTCTTTAGATCTCACCAGAAGAACGTTGTATATTTAAGTGAGCACTACATGTAGGTGGAAATAACAGACACAGCAAAGGCTTTGTATGGACTTTCAATCCTTTCTGGCTACATTCTGCAGAATAATTCATCTGTAACTGTGTGTTCATGAGGTCCTCCTGCTTTTTCATTTGCCGATGGATGAAAGGAAACACATGGTAACGTTATCAAGATGACCTGTGCAGTGGCAGGACCTGAGCCTGTCTGAGAGCCAGTTCAAGGTGTCAGAGCAATGTGAAATTGAGCGAGGGACTTGATAAAATGTAGTAACTCGCTCAGAAAACACTGGTTTTAGACTGCTTAACATAGGAATGGCCCGTTCTGCTGATCCCCAGGACTTGTATCCCCCTGCAGCCAAGCTGCAGAGCTCAACAGGAAAGCAGGACGATCACCATGGACTTGGCTCATGCCATAGTGGCCGGCTGGTCACAAGAACCTATCTCCAGAGATGTTCCATGGACGGATGACATTGACGTAAGCAAGCTGCTGTCCAGTTGATTGATCTGAAGTGCACTCAGCTTGAGAGATATTTTCTGTAACAGGTGTAACTGTCATAACAATGAGAGCTTAGCAGAGCCGGCATTTGGCTGTTCATTCACTGCTGTTCGGCTCCTATAAGAATAGGCCGAACAGCAGCGAGTAGCCTGCAGAGGTTCGGTTCAGCTGATCCAGATGTTGGATCGGCTGAGTCGAACTCCTTCTGCACTTCAGGTCGGCTGAACATGCCAGCCGAAGCAAGCCGATGTACGGCTGATTTCAGCCGATGTACGGCTGAAATCAACTGTACAAGCCTCAAGTGAATAGCTGAACAGCGTTTGGCTCACTTCACTTTGGGTCGGTTATTCACTCGGCTACCTTTGGCAGCTTTGTGAATAACCCTTTAGGAAACCAGGAGCTAACAACGCACCAGGCTCTAGCTAACTAAACTATAATTTGCTGCATGGTCTTAGCCTTTAAAAGGCTCCAATCATTGTGCCTAAGTTGAAAACTGGCTCCCTGTCTGCTACCGTTTTACTTATCTGACATCAAACCCTTACATATTTATTTATTCTACATTTTATATTCATTACCAAATGTGACAGCAATATATTTGAAATTCCCTATAACAGTACAGCTTATTTAATGTATATACTCACATTTGAAAAACAGTGGGGGGAAATGAGCGAAACTGAAGCAGACAAAATCTGGAGCAGTTGCCCATGGCAACCAATCAGCTCCTATCTTTAATTTTCAAAGCTTAACTGCATATACTGAAAAGAGAAGCTGATTGGTTTCCATTAGCAATTGATCCAGGTCGGTCTGCTCCAGTTTTGATAGATTCCCCGGGCGTATTCTATGTTACAATTCTTAACCCCTTCGTGACGGGAGACGTACACTGTACGTCCAGCCACAAAGGGACCAAATGACTTGTCACGTACGCTGTACGTGACGAGTTATTTGCTGCTTTAGAGGGCTGTTAATCGCTGAGAATCAGCTTTTAACATTCATTAATGGATGCCCTTACTACAGAGGCATTCATTAATGAAAGGGTTAACCTTTTTCAGACACCCGATACCTTAATATCGGGTGTCTGAGAGTCAAAGCAAAGCGGACACAGATGCCGGCTTTTGCCGGCATTCTGACAGCTCGTATAGATCGAGAGATATCTCTCTCAAGCTATACTGGCTTTTTTTTTTTTCTTTCATGAATAGATACAAAATGTGTCTATTCCTACAATGTATCTATTCCTGGAAGAAGAATGTTTGTTTGCTGATCGTTGTTGCAACAATCAGAAAACATTTAGTAACAGCTGAATCCTGAACTGCTGCAGGATCAGTGTCACTAACTTATTATCGGCTGTTCTGAAGTTTGAAGCAGCCTGATAATAACCAAAAATTTATTAATTTATCATGCAGTAACAGTGAGATTAATTCACAAAATCTGCTTGATATAATTAAATAAATAAAATAACATTTTTAAGTTAAAAAAAAAAGTGAAAAGTGTAAAAAAAAAAAAAAATTGTGAAAAGTGTAAAAAAAATAAAAAAATGTGTAAAAAATAAAATAAAATAAGGGACAAATAAATGAATGTATTTATTGCATTTTTTTAGCTGTGCTGGTTTTGTAAAAAAAATACTACAAATCAAAACTGGAAAAAAAGTGTTTTTTTTTAACGTTTTTTTCCTCTTTTTTTATATTTTATTTGTCCTAAGTGAGGCGTTAGACACACATATGTGATATAAATATGTAGCCCTATCTGTCCTCTAAAAAACAATATATAATATGTGTGGGTGCACTTTGTAAGAAAGTATATTACTGACGTGGAAGAATCACACAGCAAAAATGTCAAAAGTGTGTCAGTCATTTACGAACAGAAACTAAAAACAAGCTCAGTCATGAAGGGGTTAAAATGAATGTAGTGCAAGTTGCATATTTTTAAAAGTGTTTTTTACTTACATTGTTGATTACTTCATGGCTTACAAATTCGGTCTGGGTATATTTATCTTGCTTGGAGACATTTAAAGTTCGAGCAGCTTTCTGCAGAAAAAAATACATATATATTTATAAAATATAAAGTCAGAAAGGACACTGCATATATCAGTGTAGAACTGGCTAGGAATAACACTGCTCTGTGTATACCACATGCTGGAAAGCTTCATCTTTGCTTTCACATTATGAAAACACAAAAAGAATAGGTATCTCTTTTTAGCTTCACACTTCTGTTCCCACTTGACTATGCATTGCCAGCTGTTACTCTTTAGAGTAACTGTGATGGAATTATGAAAGCAAACGGTGACTATTTCAGTTGCATATTGATTGCCCAGCTTTTTCTCCACCTGCACCAATTCACAGATTTGTAGCAGTCAGTGGTCTTCATTGAGGAAGATGTGTCAAAACTGCTCTTTTGTGTTTATACTACAATACACCTTTGAAGATCATCATCTCACAATATAAAAACAAAGCACAGAATAGACAATGAAAGCTGCACTTTACCTAAAGCTTTGGCATAATGGCCAGAAAATTATGTGTGACAGCCAAGTAGAAATTCTGCCCGTTTTTCAAAAGTCAATCTGTATACTTTATTAATGTGTAAAGTAAAACAATGATTATACTATTAAATCAACACTTCTGAGTCCATGATAACCTAGCAACAGACACTAGATATAAATACATGAAAGGAACCTTTATGATTCTTCATCCACTTAGAAATGTAACAGTCTGCAAAAAGAATTAAATAATTGTCTAATACATCCATTTATTTTAAATCTGATGCATGTTTTTTAGCACTGTGATACCAAAATATTTGGTAATTGTTTAATTACATATTGGCTATATGTTATTAAAAATGTCATAATATCATCATTTACATATTAATATTTGATTAATGTTGTACTGAACATTTGAACAGTTTCAGTTACTCCTTACTGGTATATTCCTTAAGGTGGGTGCTGTAGTGACTGCAGATGCCACTGCCTCAAATCCATGTAGCAGAATGTATCACCAGCACACCATGGTCAAATCTCCAAAAGTGATTGTTTTATTGATGCAAACACATCTTATCACATTGCAACATTTCTGGGCCACTCAGGGTCCCTCCATCAGGCATGGCAGTGTTACAGTTCAATGCAAACCAAAGTGCAATCACATATCAAAAGCACTCTACCCCACCCACTCTGACGTCTTAATGACTTCACATTCCTGCCATGTCAAATTCAAATGAAGAACAGGAAGATGTAGAATAATACAGATCTATTATGTGTTGTCTCCTTGAGATCAATGGTCACCTTGATATGTTAAAATGGACAACTGGTTTTACCACAAGTGGTGTTTTGGGAGTGTCAGTGGACTCAGGAAGATAACAATTACTATGCATAAATACTCTTCCCGGAGACAAAATGTAGCTGAACAGGATGTGGGCAACCTAGGTGTTATTAGTTTAACTGCCTCTGGGCCGGCCATAGTAGAAAAACGGCCGGCCCGGAGCTCTCTAGATCTGAGCGGGCGTCTTTAGACGTCCGCTCAGACTCACCCCCTCGCGCTAGCAGGAAATTGCAGTTTTTTTTAAAACAGGCAGCGATGCCTGTTACCATACAAGCGATCCGCCGGCTTTAGAGCCGGTGGATTGCGCGTATGGGGTGCCGATCGGTGTCCCCCCCTCCGAGCCCCCCACCGTTGTCCCGCTGATCCCGGGCTCCGCTGTGCCCGGTGCAAGCCCGGGATCAGCATGTCCCCTGTGTCACAGGGGATCAGAGAGAGCTCGGTACACGAGCTCCCTCTGGTCCCCTCTGCTCTGCAAGAATGCTGAAGTGTTGTATAATACATCACTTCCGCATTCTTGTGTCACTCTCCAGCTTCAGAAGCTGGAAAGAAGCAGCAAATGGAGCAGATCTGTGCTTCATCAGCTTCTTTTGGGGGATCCTAGGTGACATTAGGGGTCTTGGAGACCCCTGATGTCTCCATAAAGAGGACCTGTCACATATTTTGCTATCACATAGGGGGGGTTTATTAGTCCCCGTATGTGATAGCAATAGAGTTTAGTGGAAAAAAAAGGAAAAGAAAATTAAGCCCCCCCCCAAAAAAATGTAAAGTTACACATAAAAAAGAATAAAAAAAAAATGTAAAGTCCCCACCCATACATACACGCATGCAAACATGCGCAGGGGGCGCATACGTGCAAAAAAGACGATTGCGCACATTACGCCGCACATGTTACATATCGCCGCGAACGTCCGAGTGAGATCAATAAGTCTAGGGCCATCAATCACTGATAACACTAAACTGATGAGCGGTAAAAGCTTTTAAAGTTGTCGCCTATGGCCAATGTTGGGTATGGTAGTTTTCTGCGATTTCGCGGGTGCGCGCAATTTTAAAGCTTGACATGTTTGCTGTCTATTTACCTGACGTGACCCGATCTTTTATATTTTACCAAAAACCTGGGTAATAATAAATGTTTCCTAACATAATGTAATTTTTCCTACTTATAATAAAAAGTAAACCCCCCAGTGGTGTTTAAATACCACCAAAATAAAGTTCTATCTGTCCCCAAAAAATGGTATAAAATTCAATTCAGTACAGCGTTGCATGACGGAATAAACGTCAGTCAAAGTACTGCATCGCTGAACACTGAAAAATGGCCTGGCCAGGAAGGGGGTCTAAACACCTGGTCTTGAAGTGGTTAAAGAGACTTCAGTCCCCCATCCAATCACTATTATGAGATAGCTCTGATTTTGTTTTGTGGACTAATCATGGGTTCATAATTATAGTGAATGAGGGAAGCTGAGATAAAGAGGCATAGGCCAGAGCCATTGT